ATTACTGTTTTCTTGACTGTCTTTCCCCCATGAAACCGTTAAGAGTCTGAGGGTCAGGGCCACATCTGTCTTGTATATCCTTGAATCCACTGACCTAGCAAGTTCCTGTTCATGGTGAGAGGTCCCTGCAGCTCCTAGACTTGGTGCACAGTCACAGGTGAAATCTCCACATTTCAAAGGATCGACATTCCTTGTCATTTCACAAGAAAAGAGGCTCACCACTTTTCCTGCACTGGACATTTTGCTACCCTGTGTTCATTCCCTGTCATTCCCTCCCTTACTGGTAAGTGGGTCTTTAAAGATCCATTTCACATTGAATATAAACTTTCACCACTGAAACATAAAAGAATGAGTTGCATTTCCATTTCTTTCCATTAATGAAGTAATCTAAATGTTCTAGGTTTCTTTGCATCATTTTTGACATGAAGCAGGTCTGCTTTACCTTTGTTGTAAGTTTCAGGACTTCTCATCCATCGTCATTAACATCAGCATCTTGCTGTGTTACGTTTCAAAGACTGCCTTCAGATGTATTAGTATTATAATGTTCAATTTCCTCTTGTCAGCTACACCACATTTACAAGCCTCTCGGTGCTCATTCTGCTCTCAATCTTGGATACACAGGACAATCTCCTCTTTTCTTTTGTTGTTTTTGTTGGTGTGTGGATGCTGAATTATCACATGACTTGCATGGATAGCCCTAGAGAAAGGATCTGCATTTATGGCTTAACTGATAGGGTTCTTCTGGAAATAGCATGCTAATTAATGTTCAATTTCAAATAAGTTAGCACAGAATGGGCTAATTTTTTGAAAAGACAGATCAGGTGTCTTAATCATTCAGATCATTACTGTCTCCCAAGTACCAGATTAATTTTTTAAAGCCTTCTTTACAGATTACCCAGGGAAATATTCTGAAGAGGAGAGCAAAAGCTCGACATCAGGCATTGCAGGAGACCTTGGGGATGACCTGCAGGAGGCTCGGGCTCCCACCATTGCTCAGCTGCTCCAGGAGAAGACCCTCTTTTCCTTCTCCGAGTGGCCAAAGGTACTCCCCAGAGCATGCATTCTCTACCCAAAGCATTCTCAGCTTGTAGAGTATTTCTGAGTATAAGCTCAGAGAAATGTCTAATATCTTGAAAAGGTATTAGTAATGTCACATATGAACATTAAAGAAATACACACTCGACCATAAGATAAAACTGTCTTCGTATTTAAAGCACCGTGGCTTTAATTTTAATTTTCATTGTCCAGACCATAGAACTTATTTTAAGACTTGTAAAGTGAGTACATCTGAGTGCTTTTTTTCTAATCAACTCCTTCTGGTTAGAAAACGTGACATTTGGTCTCTAGGGACTTTGAGAATTTGGGTAGCTTGGTGCTTACTCCTCTGAGCGTTTGGTCTTTTTTATAGGATCGCGTGATAATCAACCGCCTGGATAATATCTGCCACGTGGTGTTAAAGGGGAAGTGGCCGTCTGGCCCACAGTACGAGCCCTCGGGCACCCTGCCCCCGCCAGTGTTAAGCAGCAGTACTGGTTCTCGGGGGAGCCTCTCGGAGCCAGAAGCGACCGAACTCGGCTTCAGCGGGGGTGCAGCATTGGTGGCCCCGATCCAGAAGGTGAGGCCCCGAGCGCCGCGTCGGCTGTGACACGAGCAGTGAACGATGCTTTGCACTTCGCAGTTGAGTCATTTCATTCAGCAAATACTTACTGAATGGATAGGGTTTTTTTCTTTTTTCTCTCTTTCCTTCTTTCTTTCTTTCTCTCTTTCTGCTTTTGGTTTTTCTCTTTGGTTTTTTTTCTTTTCTTTTCTTTTCTTTCTTTAAAGTCACTGGTATTAATTGAAGAACTTAGATTTTATCCAGTAGGCAGCAGGGAGCTACTAAAATTTTGGAGCAGGGAAGTGCATAATGAAAGCAGGGTTTTACAGCTCGGCTGGGGTGGTGGGCAGGTTCTTGGGAGAGGAGGGTCGAGAAAGAAGAGGGCCAGAGGCTGGGAGGCCAAGTGGGGATCTGATGAAGAGATGAGGTCCTAGACCAGGTTAGTGCCAGAGTGGGTACAAACAAAGGGAAAGGGGCAGATGTTGGCAGGCGTAACCTGATGACTAATAAACATACTAGGAGAGGGAGGCGTGAATGGATCAGTGTGTTCCGCACTTGGAAGACCGTGAGAATGATGGCAGCTGATAGAAATTAGGGAAATCAGGGAATGGATTTTATAAACTCAGGCTTATAACTCAAGTTTAATTTGAGGTACATTGTTAGCACACTGCCTTTTTTTAATTTTTCCAATGGATTCTGATGTACATCTGAGGTTGATTCCCTGGATTACAGTCTTGCAACTCCAGGGGTACTTCCTGGACCAGCAGCGTTAGCAGCACCTGGAAACCTGTTAGGCACACAGAGTCTCAGGCCCACTGAAGTGGGATTGACATTTTAAGAAGCTATCCAGGTGAGGGCACCTGGGTGGCTCAGTCAGTTAAGCATCTGCCTTCGGCTCAGGTCATGATCCCAGGGTCCCGGGATGGAGCCCCACATCGGGCTCCCCACTCAGTGGGGAGCCTGCTTCTCCCTCTACCTCTGCCTGCCCATCACTCATGCTCTTCCCCTCTCTCAAATAAATAAAATCTTTTAAAAAACAAACTATCCAGGTTATTTGGTGCTAAAGTTTGAGAAGCCTTGAGTGGAAAAACGTCTAAGAATTGATTAGGAATCCTGCCAGGCCCGAGGAAGTCCGGGCTGGAGAAGGAGCTGCCGTTCAGCCACAAAAGTGGCATTCAAACCTCCATGTGTGTGTTTGCAGGAGACCTTCCTGGCTCCAGTATTCACAAAGGATGACCAGAAGCACAGACGTCCCTACGAGTTTGAGGTGGAGAGGGATGCAAAGGCCCGGAGCCTGGAACAGTTCTCTGCTACCCACGGGCACCCCCCCATCGTCCTCAATGGCTGGCACGGGGAATCCGCAATAGATCTCTCCTGCACGTCAGAGGGGTCCCCGGGAGCCACGTCTCCTTTCCCAGTGAGCGCCAGCACCCCTAAGATCGGGGCTATCGGTTCACTTCAAGGAGCTCTTGGCATGGACTTGTCTGGGATTCTGCAAGCTGGCCTGATCCATCCAGTGACGGGACAGATTGTCAATGGAAGCCTCAGAAGAGATGACGCTGCCACAAGGAGGCGGAGGGGGAGACGGAAACATGTTGAAGGAGGGATGGACCTCATCTTTTTGAAGGAGCAGACACTTCAGGCAGGAATCTTGGTGGGTATATGAGACCATTAGGTAAAAACCCTGACCTTTCCACTCTGAGTAATAAACCTTTCCTCAGACACACGATTTTTTAATCTGTGGCTCTTTTATCCCTATTTCAAATGTCCTACTTAGTTTCTCTTGTTATAAGTTGCCCTCAGTCTTTTCTAGAAACAAGTTTAATCCATTACAGGCCCTTCACCTGCATGCAACCTGAAGATATGAGCCAGGGGTCTTGCCAAATACAAACAGCCCAGACCCTCCAGTGTTTCGGAAGAGCTGCTGGTGATTGAGTAAAGCAAAGCAGCAGGTTGGGTTTGTGGCAGTGGTACTCGGGGTTAGTGGGTTTTCCGGGAGCTGGGGATCAGGAGAAGGAACAGGGGTCAGGATCCTGAATGTTGATCCTGGCTCTACGACTTGACCTTCTGGACTACATGGGGCATGCCACCGTGCCTCACTGTGCTCCCCTATGAAGTAGGCCTGTAGCATCTCCCCCAGAGGGCTTCACCAGCATCACGCCAAGACGCCCTCAACCCAGAGGAGATCATTGTAAACAACAGACAAGGTTAGAAGCTGTATGCCTGGCCAAGAGAGATCCCCTTAGACTTTGCTTCATGTGTCAAAGACAGCTGACTTCCCTTTGTGTTTTGTTTTTTCTCATTTATTGAATTTCAAGCTCCAAAACAGGAATCACATTTCATGTTTTCTTATTTTAAAAGGAATAATAATAACCAGTATTCATTGAGTGCTTGACATGTGCCAGGCACTGTGTTCAGGTTTTAGTGTGACTGTCCTATTTGATCTTCACAACTCTGTGAAGGTGTTGCTATTACTCCAATTTTATAGATGAGGAAACTGAGGCTAATAAGCATTGAATAATTTGCCCAAGATTATCCAGTAAAGTGGCAGGTCAGGGAACCAAACCAAAGACTTTGTTCGCTGGCACCTAAGAGCTTTATTATTAAGCTCTGTTGTTTGGTATATTTTAAAAGTTTTGTCTTCCTCTTAGACTTCCTATCTAATTTGGGAGGCTGAAGTGACAGGTTCTTTCCCTTCTCAATCCTGCAAGCTTTTAAGGCAGTTGTCTCGTTTTTTAGAAGTGCAAAGCCATAGTTTCTCCATAGTGATCATAGAGTATTTTTAAAAATGTATTATGCAGACATTTATTTAGCACCACATTGTACTTTGTAGACCCTGTCATAGGCATTGGGAATACAGAGATGAGTAAGACAGGCATTCCACCCATAGAGGGAGCGACAGGTAAGTATATTGCAGTGTGGCATTTCCTGGTGTTGGAAAATCTGTGAACGGGGCGGGGGGGGCGGTGTGCAGGGAGTGGAGTGGCCTGGAACTGTCCGTGACGGTGACAAAGGAGGTAACACAACTTGAGCAGACAAGGTGGAATTAAAGGTCACCAAGTAGACAAGAAGGGGAGAGGAGCATCAGGTAGAGGGAACGCCAGCACATGCAGGAGCCCATGTGTGGGTCAGTAGTGTGAAGGATTCTTTATTTTTTAAAGATTTTATTTATTTATTTGACAGAAACAAAGCGAGAGAGGGAACACAAGCAGGGGGGAGTGGGAGAGGGAGAAGCAGGCTTCCTGTAGAGCAGGGAGCCGGATGCAGGGCTCGATCCCAGGACCCTGGGATCACGACCTGAGCCGAAGGCAGACACCCAACGACTGAGCCACCCAGGTGCCCCTAGTGTGAAGGATTCTTACTCAAGTACCCCAGCATAGTAATACTCAGGTGGAAACGGATGGGAAGATACAGAGAATATGTTTTCCTTTCAGAAACTGGTTTTCATTCTGTCATGCTTAACTGCACATACTTGTTTCTCTTTCGTCCAGGAAGTCCATGAAGACCCAGGGCAGGCCCGCCCGAACACCTCACACCCTGAAGGGCCAGTGGCTGCCACTTCGGCCCCCGAGCCAGCCCCAGCAGCCGGCAGCCAGGCGGAGAAAGCCATTCCCAGCAAGAGTCTGCTTGACTGGCTGAGGCAGCAGGCCGACTACTCCTTAGAGGTTCCCAGTTTTGGAGCAGTAAGTATTGTCCGTGCTACCTGACACTGCCATTTCCTTCCTGCTGACTTGCTGCTGTGTTTGCTAAGGAGCGTGCTCGGGGAGGCCAGGAAATTTGACAGAGATCTGCATCAACGGAGAACATCATTTTCAAGTTTGGGTTTTTGTCTTTAAGTTTAAATTGTGATGAAGTTTTCTAGTAACAGAAATCACAGCCCATGTCAGAATGCGGTGCCAAGTTGTATAAAATCTTATGAGGGCAGGACTTTCCTAAGCTCAGCCCCCTTACCCCACCCCCCCCGAATTACCACACAAGATCCTAAGTGCACAGAGAAATCTTTAGTTTGCATAAACACTACCACTTCGGGCATGTGTTCTGTGTATTCTTTCCAAGTTAATACATTACCACTTTGTAAGGAAGGGTGTCTGTTCTTAGTTTGAGTTACACCTTTGCAACTCTTCCTTCAAGTCCTCTTACTGCCTTTGCCCGAGATCCTTCAGATTAGAAATCTGTAGAAGAGGGCTCCTCAGCACTGATGTCTCTTCTTGGTGTTTCTTTTCTCATGTGCTCACCTACCCCACCACCATCTTTGTCTTGGGTACATCAAACTAATAACATGTGGAGGTAGAGAGCTCAGAAGAAAAGGAGGAGAACGCATTCACAGATGCATACCCTCCAAAGAGAGACAAAGCCTGCCAGATAGGTAGCAGCAGAGAGAGAATCTGGGGAATGAGGAGGAGAAGAAGGCCAGGGAGTAAGCAATACACTGAGAGACCGCTGGGCCAGCTCCAGTCTGACCCAAGGGGCCCACACAACCTGTTCTCTAGCTTGCTGCAGGAATACCATTGTTTAAAGAAAACCTAGGTCAGGGCCCAATAGCACTGTCCTTCGTCAACCTAACCTGATGGGGTCCTGTACGGAGGGCCATTAATGAGAGAAGAGCAAAACTAGCTGAAAAGCACCACCCTCATCAGAAGAATCTGTGACAGGATGTTTTGTAATGTTGGTTTCCATTTGCCTCCTAGAATTTTTCAGACAAACCAAAGCAGAGGAGGCCACGCTGTAAGGAACCTGGAAAATTAGACGTCAACTCCCTGAGTGGGGAAGAGAGGGTTCCCGCTGTCGCCAAGGAGCCAGGACTAAGGGTAAGGAAGAGGGACATGTCCCAGTGAAGCCAAGCCTTGCAGACTCAGGGAAAGCTCCAGCTGGGAAGTGGGGAGCCAGACTATGTCTTCTCAGATGACAGAGGCCAGCACGGGAAGTTGATAAGGAGCATTAACTGGTACTGGGGCTTCTTGAGCAGCAGTAGGACTTCCCGTAGTCATTTGTTTTCAACCTTTACCACCAAAACTTTTGGTTTAAATTTGTACTTAAACCATTTCCAAAACCTGATATCCGCCGCCCACCCCCCATCCCATTACAGTGTAGAGAGTTCAGGGAAATATACCTGAACCCCTATCAGGAGTCTGTTTCTAGAGTTAACAAATGTCATTATTGGAAATTTCCATTTAAGACATTTCCTCCTAGTCCCATCCTCACTGGCAATGAAAAACAGCTGACTCCAAGCACCGCCCTTCTCCTCATATAGAATCCTGAGCCTGGAAGAGACTTCAAAAGACATCTGTGAAATAGTTGTAGTCCAACGCATCTGAGTTAATTATAGTTCACAGAGGAGGACAGATTTGGAATAGAAAAGTCATAACCTCTAGGGGGCAGTAATAACATTTCAACCTGAAAATGTGTCAGGCTTGGGCAAATTATAGGTAAATGTGCTTTTAACCTCCTAAAAGTGCGTCCTCCCCAAACAGGGAGCCTCTGAAGAGCCTCGTGGGCATCTGTTCTTCTCGGGTTGCCCCCCTAAATGCACAGGCTTTCCTGAATGCCTTCTCTTCGAGGCTCTGCCAGCTGCAGATTTCCTTGGGTGTGAATCCCCCTCTTAGTGGGACTGCCTGGATGTGATTTCTTTTTCAGCTCCAGAAGACCACCCACCCTAGTCATTTGCTCCTTTTGCAGAAGAAAGTTGTTAATGTTTTCAAGGAGTCTGTGACTGATGTTGTCACCTAGTGGATTGTTCTAGCAGCTCTGCAGACAAAACTGCTCTCCCTCATCCCCATCCCCCACCACAGCCACTCCAGGAATGGGGCCAGGACCCCATCCCAAGGTTGGCTGCTTGTTAGGAAGCTCATCACAATTGATAAGCTGCCCTTTTGCCCCTCTCTTGCTTTATTGTCAGAGAGTGTCTCTGCCACCCCTTTTCCTAGACCCGCTTATGCTGTGCACACTGATGCAGCTGTAGTCCTTAGCCCGACTGACTTTCTCCAGCCCTCAGGCCGCCTCCCCACCTTCTCCCTGCGTTTCCGCACACGCTGTCACGTAAAAGTCATCCAGGAGAGATTCCGGTCCTTGCTTTGTTGTAGCCTCTGAGCTCTTGCTGTAGAGACATGTCAGAAAAACCACATGGTTTCCTCCTCCTTTCTACATGTCTAACAATTTCCCTCATGTTCTCTGGAAATTAATGTTCACTTTCCTATAGACGCTGATCCCTTGCCAGAAAACCCATTTCTAAGCTGTTCTTGCAAGCCAGCCTTTTACCAGAGATGCACTTTCCCTCCTTTGTTAAATAAACACAGTCCCTGCCTCGGAGGCCCTTGTCCTGCAGTAAGGCAAGATGAGGAAGCCCTTGTCCACCTGGTCCTCAGGGCTGCCCGGCCTCCCCGGTGGGGAAGAGCCAGCACGGCCCAGACCGCAACACTCTGCTTGATTCCAGGAGGACCCGTCTCCCACAGCTCCTGCTGGGACAGGAGCCCTCTCGGGTATGCTCCGCTCGTTCTCCCATGGAGACACCCCCCCCACCCCGCTTCTGGAAACAGATTCAGATCAAGAAACCTCTTCCTTCCCTCAGCCCCTTCTGCTGCATGTGCTGTGGCTCAGCTGGGTGAGCTCCACGGGCTAGAGTGAGGCTGTGGGACTCAGCTTCCAGGACGGCCAGTACATAGTGGTCGCTCGTGAGATGTGTGTGGGCACGTGCACATGTGGATGGAAGTTACATTTGTTTCATAGATGTGTGTGTAGGTTTTTTGTTTCTTGTTGAGCCGTTGGACAGTAACTTGCAGAGATGACCTGTCACCCCTAAATACTTCAGTGTGTGCCTCCTAAGAATATTTTCCTACATAACTATTACCATTATCACACATGGGAATATTAACAATATTTAATATTTAGTCCACATTCAGATTTCCCCAGTTCCCAAAAATGTCTTTTTTTTTTTTTAAGATTTTATTCATTTATTTGAGAGAGTGAGCGAGTGACAGAGAGAGCTTGAGAAGAGGGGAGGAGCAGAGGGAGAAGCAGCTCCAAGCCTGACATGGGGCTCAATCCTGGGACTCCAGGATCATGACCCAAGCCAAAGGCAGATGCTCAACGGACTGAGCCACTCAGGCACCCCCGAAAAAATGTCTTTTAGAAAAGCTAGTTTTTGTTTTATTTTGTGTTTAGGAATTTTGACTTCATTACCACACACACCTCCTCCTTTGGTTGTTAGGTCTCTCTTCACTCAGTGAATGTTTGTTGGCTAAATCTCCTAGCCTTCCTGGGAAGAGTAGGGAAGTTTTGGTCAGCACCTTCTTCTCTACCTCTATCCAGGAGTTAAGTTTGAGAGCTGGAATCCATAGGCTTTGGAATAAATGCTACCCTGTGTTGGTGAAGATGTCTTCTTGAGTTGGAATGCCCATGTAATCATGTGGAAAAGCAGATTTGCCTCCAGTGTTGCTTAACATCTGACTCTCCTTTTCCTTGCTCTCCTTGCCCTCTCCCCAGGCTTCCCCTGGAAGAGGAAGCAGGTTTGCTCTCAGGGTATAATTACCAGGAGGGAGAGCTGCCAAATCCCAACTTGGCCGCTGTGTGTGGTCGCTGAGCTGCTGGGAGGGGCACCTGATGGGGTGGGCAGCAGCTGAGCGGCTAGAGGGACTCTTGCTCCCACAGGAAGTGGTAAGATCCGACTTCCTCTGCCAGCACCCCTCTTGGTGTTGCTGTAGATGAGGAGCTATTCCCTTTACCCCCGAGACCTTTCCGCTGCTGCTCTTCCAATCTGAATGCCTCCTTGGCAGGTTCCCGGTTCTGAGAGGGCTCAGCACTCTACATCAGAGGCTCACAATCAGGGCAGGAAAGGGATGCTTCTGGACGTCCTGATACCTGAGGAGTATTGTCAAAGATTCCTGCGGGATGCAGGCTGGTCTTGATGAGCAGTCTAGCCCTAGATGCCCTGATGAACTCAAAGTATGTTAAAGAACATCTGATTTATAGCAAGATGTTTGAAAAGAAGATAGAGGCATTGTTCATCAAGCCCTGGGTTTGCTTCCCAACAGAAAGACTTCTAAACACACCCTCCCCACTGGAGAGTTATGAAGGAACTTTGTGGGTATAAAGGAAAAAGACACACCCTGGCACCTTTCCCTGGCTCTTGGCTGTGGGTGGGCTACAGGGAAGAGGTGTTGGAAAAGCCCAGTGGTCCTGTTGGGGCTCCCCTGGCTGGGGCCTTGGGCTGAGGTGGTGCGCATCAGAAGTTCTGCTTTTAATCTGGCCCCAGTCCATCAAGCCCTACTCTCTCTTCAGAAATAGGAACCAGGCAGGAAGTTCTCCCGAAGTGATCATCCCCAGAGCCAGAGTGAGCGGCTGTCCCGCGAAGAGCAGGCGCCATCCCATGTGGTGTGGTGTGACACAGCGTCTGCTCTTCCCTGCGCAGCTGTGCCCCGGGGCAGATCCCTCCTTCTCTCACTTTGTGAGAAAGAATGGGCACAAAACATGACAGAATCACATGTCCCCCCAGTCTGCTATTCTAAACCAAGGCTTTTTGAGAAGAGTTTTCTTAGAGTCGACCATCATAAAGCTTTTTGCCCATGATCTGGTTTTTCTTGAATATTCTTCAGAACATTGAAGGACAGATAGAGAGCTTCAAAAATGACATAATTCTTGGGGACTTGGGAACATTCAAATACTCGTTTTTCACGTGTCTACAAATCTTTAAATTCTTTATAAAATGGCTGTGATGGTTGTACTGACTCCATGGGGTTGGTGGGATCGCTAATTGAGATAATGCATATGGAGCCCTTGGCATCTGCCTGACCCAGGGTAAAAGCACCTTGAGTGGTGCTGTCGTTGCTGCTGCTGCTGTTCCTTTCCCCACCCCTGCTCTGTGATGGCCACCGGTCGCCAGTTTCCCATACTGCCCAGGCTGCCACGAGCATGGGCCCCATGCTTCCCTTCCCAGCTGCCACCCCACGTGTGCTCACAGAGAGCCTGAACCCATGTTACCCACCAGCCCCATCCTACCGCTGCCCCTTTGAGCAGAGATGTGTTGGATTCTAGGGATTAGACTTCTTCAACAGGAAGAAGAGAGGCCGTGAGCTGAATGGAGATGCCAGAGCTCCTGGATTAAAGTCCAAAGTGGGAGTACTTAGGAAGGGTGTGAAGAGCCAACTCTTACCTGTTCTCAGGCTTGGCTGCCAGTCTCAGCCCTTAAGTATCTGTGGACTCCCTGACTTCCTGTCTCCTTTAGCACTCCGGCCCTAATAAAAGTGTTTTTCTGGCCCTTCGGCAGTCTCTTGGTGTGACCTGCACCTGCCTTCTGGCTCCAAGTATGCTCCGTTAAGGACTGCAGCTGGGTCCCTGCGTCTGAGCCTCCGAGTAAGCTGGTGGAGTCTCAGCTGTGTCTTGCCACATCCCCGCTCCCTGCTCCAGACTTGCAGGGAGGGAAGGCGTTGATACAAACGGAGAATCCTGAAAAGGCAGCAGACGCAGCTGTAGAGAAGCATGGGCTCCAGCGTCAGCAGCGCCGGCAGCCTCACTGCTGGGCCCTCCCAGCTCCTGCTTCTGTGCAGGGGCCCGTCCCCGTTTCCACATTCCAGCCCCGATGGGGACGTGCATCCCCAGTGCAAACCCAGGGTTATGGATCCCCCGTGGCCACTCTGAACATCTTGGGCCTCACCATTGCTGTGATCAAAGGGAAGGTGGTAGAATTAACACCAGCTTTGTAACAGGAACAGTGAGGAGGAGGAGAGAGGACTTCAGGGGTCCACAGGGAAGGGCTTTTTCTTTATGGTCCTCTGTACAAAGAAGACCGAGAGTGCACAACAGCAGTGTTAGGACAGTGCGCCTCGGACGCCGTGGACACACACCTCCTTGATGAGCCGAATGACAGCAGGGCGGAGTGGAGGCCGCGGAAAGGAGAGGGGGCGGGGCTTTCGGGCACGGTCCCGAGAGAAGTCACGCCCTTTCTCTGGGGAAAACATTTGATAGATTATTCATGCCATTTTGGAAGCAGATTCAGAGTTAGAGACATTGTGATTGCAGCGGTGGTTTCATTCTCTCCCCGCAAGCAGGCGGTAAGCTCTGGCGGAGCAGGCTCTCCAGCTTGTGCTGGTGCATCCTCGTGGCCCCGCAGGGCTCCTGAGCCACAGGCACCAGGGAAGGAGCGAGTAGGCTGCAGCAAGCCCACTGCCAGGCTGGCGCACTCCCTCCGCCCCGTGGCCTGCGGCTCACTGATGCCGGGGAAGCGTCAGGCTCCCGGACTCTAGCGAGCCGTCCAAGGAGGCGGGGGGTGCAGTATGCGCATGCGCAATGCCGGTGAGCCGCGTGCCAGCCTGGCCGTGCGCCCCAGGCACGGTCACAGTTCAGACCGCGTGGCGCTTAGCCCTGGAGGTCTTAGCCCTGTTGGGCCCTCCCACCTCCTGCTTCTGTGCAGGGGCCCATCCCTGGGAAAGGGACAGGCGGGAAAACGGGCCCAACACAGCCCTCTGATGAGAGCAAAACTAGGTGATCTCCCTTAAGGGAACCCAGCACGTCACTTACTGTGATGCATTTCCCCGGCACCATTCAGGAGTGCCCTTGTGCCCTCGGCGCGCAGTAGACACCCTGTTCGGTGTCTGAGTGGTTGTCCTCCAGGAGCTTAGGACCCAGAGGGAGTGGGGTGCGCACAGTTACCAACCTCCCTTTGGGGAGCACTTCTTCCCGTGGACCGGGTAAGGTCTTGCACACTTCGTTTTCGGTAACTGGCAGATAGGTGTCATGTCCTTTCCAACCAGAGCTCTGAGAGGCTAACTGATGGGGCCCAAGTCCCATAGCTAGTTATGGGGTCAGGACCAAGATTCAGGTCCCACTGCTGCAAAGCCCTGTCTCCCAGCTTCTGTTGAAAACCTTCCCGTGTCTTGAGGAAGATGAATGCTCGGTTTGGTCAAGGGTGCACAGCCACAAGTCTCAACTAAGACGTGGGTGTCCTTAGCGGGGCTCTAGCTCCCAGCGCTCTGACAAGTTTCTCCAGGACGATGCCGCCTGCATGTGGTGGTTGGTGGGTCTTGGCCTCTGAGAGAGTGACTTCAGATGGTCAGGTGAGAGCCGGCAAGGCAGGTAGGCAGGGGGCCCCCACTCGGGACCTTTGTGTGGCCGGGACAGGACAGGCCAGTGCAGAAGCCTGGTCTTCCTCCCCAGCCCATCACCCGCCATCCAGTAACCTTCAGCCTTTTCTGTTTCTTTGGCCTTTTTCAGGGGTTTCTCCCAGAAAACAAGTTCAATCACACCCTGGCCGAGCCTGTTCTTCGAGATGCGGGCCCCCGCAGAAGGGGGCGGCGGCCTCGGAGCGAGCTCCTGAAAGCTCCTGCCCTCGCGGCGGACTCTCCCTCGGGGATGGGGCCATTGTTCATGAATGGACTGATCGCTGGGATGGACCTGGTAGGGCTCCAGAACATGAGAAACATGCCAGGCATCCCCCTCACGGGCCTGGTGGGGCTGCCGGCGGGCTTTGCTGCCGTGCCCGCAGGGGAAGAGTCCAGAAGCACCCTGAGCATGCTGCCCATGGTGCTGCCAGGAATGGCTGCGGTGCCCCAGATGTTTGGCCTCGGGGGCCTCCTCAACGCGCCCATGGCGACCGCCTGCACCTCCACCGCTCCAGCGCCTCTGTCAAGCACAACAAAAAGTGGTCCATCGGCGCCCGAAAAGACTGTAGAGGACAAGCCAAGTAGCCATGATGTAAAGTCGGACACATTGGCTGAAGACAAGCCTGGTCCTGGTCCATTTTCTGATCAGTCCGAACCTGCAATAACCACCAGTAGTCCTGTGGCTTTTAACCCATTTCTCATCCCAGGAGTGTCTCCTGGACTCATTTACCCATCCATGTTTCTCTCCCCTGGCATGGGCATGGCTCTGCCCGCAGTGCAGCAGGCCAGACACTCGGAAGTTACAGGTCTGGAGAGCCAGAAGAGGAAGAAGAAGAAAACAAAAGGGGACAGCCTGAACCCCAACCCCGAGCCCGCTCCCAGGTCCGAAAAGGAGCCAGGCAGCGATCAGAACTGCCCCGAATCCAGGACCCCCGGGCCCCTAGACAGAGAACATGCAGCCCAGGCCAGGGAAGGGGGCCTCAAAGACTCTAACAGTGACACCAATTAGAACTTTTTCATTTAAGAAATGATTGTGACTTGTAAGTTTCTTATCCCATAAAGGTTTGTTACTTCCTCACTTCACCTTCATAAGAACCTGTGTTTCCATAAGTAATATTACCTACCTAATTTTCTGAGAACTGTGGTCACAGATGTTAATAGTCGCAGGGTCTTGCCACTTTGTTAGCTGAGTGTCGTCGACCCAGTGTAGGAGGCACCAAATGCTCATTCTGTTACCCAGTGGTTCATTCCAGCAGCCGTAGCTGATACAGCACTTGGTGACATGCCCCGCCCCCACTTCTCCAAGTTTCCCCCTTATTTGAGGAGGGACAATGGCAAAAGAAAGCTGTCTAGGGATTTACCATTAAAGGGCCGAAGAACAGAGACCATGAGGAGCTCTTTTTTTCCATGAGCTGTGTTGAATGGGAAGCATGTAATGGGGAAACCAAAAAGCACAGAAAAAGGAAGTGCTGGTGCATATTTTTTAGTTCAAATATTTCCCTATTTTATCATGATGACTAAATGAATAGTATAGACAGAAGTATATAACTAATGGTTGAAAATGCATATATATTCATTTCTTTATAAAACAAAACCTTACTGGTAGTAACAGGACATCCCCCCTCATGGTTTTTCAGACACGTGCAGCAAGAAGAAATACTGACTAGGCATTATTTTATACATGTGTGTGCTCTCTCCCCCAAGTTAAAGGATCACTCTCAGTATGAAAAAGCTTTACACACCCGGATTTCCTGCCGGCAGTGGGGGCGGGCGAGGGGCTCGCCCTCCATGGGGCCGCACGCTGCTCATAAGCACACGGCTGCCATCTGCTCACCTCGTTCTCAAGAATCTCTCCGGCCGCTACCAGGGCCCTAACGGGTTTTTACCTTGTGCTTCCCTTCACCAAGAATAAGGCTCTTTCTGGAGCCTGGGAGAGTCTCGTCACTCAACACTTTTACACCTTGCTAGTCCCTTCGTCAGAATTATTTGAGGTTGTCAGAACATGTGTGCGCCACCTTTTATAAAACGACTGTGAACGTTTGTTTCTCCTCTCCGTTTTTTTCTCTCTTCGGTTTCCATTTTGCAGTTGGACCCAGATTCCAAATCACGTTAGCCGAGACGGTTGCAAGTTAACATCATTTTCCCTTCTTCCTCACTCGGGAAGCCCCTGCCTGAGGGGCCCTCATCCCACTTTCTGTCCCTTCCCACTTGTGTTCCATCCCTCCAGAGGGTCTTATTCTTTATCGACAGTTCACACTCTGAGACTTGAATTAAGTTCATGGTTCAGGACTCTGGGGGCACAGGGCTGTGCAGGACCGTTGGAAATGTTGGAAGTGTTACTAGTACCAGTTTCACTTTGTATTGTCACAATTTACTGTATTTTTTACTTTTTCTGTTACAGTTTTGCTAATTTATCAGAAGGTCCAAAAGTTTGACATAACTATTTCAGTTTGCATTATTTATTTATGATGCTTTTGTCATTGTCTTTTATACATTTGGGATTATAAATTATGTAAATGTTAAAATGAGCATCTCAAGGAAGTCTGTTAAATTGTGACCAGAAAAAAAAAAAAAAATCAGTCCAGATGTATTTTCAAACAGTGGAGTCCTGGCGTTATGAATCAGAGATAAAAATCAGAAATTCTGTAACTGATCGTATTAGTATGAAGAAAGAATCCAGTGATTGAGCAAATCCTATTTAATGACATCTTTGTAGCATAGATGGTCTATAATGCTGACAACAGATTTCTTAGAAATGCTGCTCTCTATTTAACTAACATTTTGTTCAGTTTTGCCTCCAGTGGAAGCAGAAAGGGTTTTTTCAGCTGTTAAATCCTAAAAATCAATATAATTTATTTATGTAAAAAAAAAAATCACTCAATCGATATATTTTTGAACCTTTTAAGTACTAATTTTCTTTTTATCAAGTAGAAAAAAATGTATTTGCCCTAAATCCTTAAAATACAAATGCTATAAAAATTCATGTATCTTGAAAGCCTTACTGCAAATGAGTATTATAGACATCCAGCAGAGTCTGGGTTTCCCTTTGTTGTCGTCGTCGTTGTTTTGTATGGAAAAGCTGCTTTCCCCAGGTTCCACTTAGAACCTCCAGTAGGTCACAGGGTTCAATATGGATTTGATTTAAAAACCCACCAGCATGCTAAATCCCTTGTTATATCTTACCGAACCTGTATGTTAACTCTCTGGGTGTTTAGGCTTATATTTGACTGCTATTGTGTCCCTGTTTGCAAAATGAAAATGACACTCTGTGGATTATTTGCTCTGTAAGGCATAAGTGCTTCTTATGATTATTTTGACGTTTCCAAGAGCAAAAGCCAAATTTAAACTCTCTTCAGCAAACTTGAGCCTTTTCATCTAAATTCCATGTCACTCACAGCCATAACTTTCCTTGGTCATTCTTCACCCCGTGTCTCACATAATAAATTGTCTGTGGTCTTGATCCTGGATTTAAAAAAAAAAAAACAATTTTAAAAGTCAAATTCAGTGGCACTTGGATGTCTCTTGCTGCCTGGGCCTTGTATGAATATATCCTATGCACACGGCTGTCCACGATCTTTCCGAGGTGCCCAGTTTGTTCTGGACACACTGTTGGGGGCTTGTTGTTTTTTTTTTTTTTTTTAAAGCTTTTATTTATTTGACAGAGAGCACAAGCAGAGGGAGAGAGAGGGAGAAGCAGGTTCCCTGCTGAGCAAGGAGCCCGATGTGGGACTCGATCCCAGGATCCTAGGATCATGACCTGGGCCGAAGGCAGCCGCTTAACCGACTGAGCCACCCAGGTGCCCCTGTTGGGGGCTTGTTAAATACTCATTCATGGGGATGGATTGACCGGATCTCTTGACCTACCAGAACACCCGGTTAAGACACATGCCACAGAAGGGAGCACAGCCAAGTACCTGCTTCCCAGCCTTGGGGCCTGAATGCTCACAGCTGATGTCTCAACTGCGCCACTTTATTAAACCCTTTTCTAGAAGCCCCCCCCTCCTCAAATCACACCTGGGACTTCGCGGTGGGGGAGGGGGGGCGGGTACCTCCGTGGGATCGGAACAGGCTCGAAAAAACAGGAATGCCTCGGTAACTGGAGTCCTTAAGGCTTGTTAAGGATTTGGTGGTCCTTAGCTTTGGGAAGCGTGACTTCTGGAGCCCCAGAAGGACTGTGAAGTTATCAGTGAGGCTGGCAGGAGACCCACCAGTTTCGCCCTTGTCGGGTCCCTAGATGGCAGCTGAATGGCGCAGAGGATCCCTGAGGCGTTGTTCGCTAAGACCTCAGAGTCCTCTGCTGCAGTGTTTCAAGTAAGGATGTACTACAGTCTTTCTAGACCTCCAGTCCAGATGTGCGGAGCCCTCATTCCGGGCAGAGTAATAATTTATGCAGAATGAGCAGTAAAGAGGCTTGGTTTCACTCTTGACCCCGGAGCCTGCCCCAGTAGATTCTGCCTCTGCGAGGGCAGAGGAATGCAGTTAGTTTAGTACGTCGGGCTGGTGTTGCGGTGTTTTGTGTGTATTTGCCGTAAGTGACCTCATTCGTCTTCAGAGCGTCTTGGTTGCTGAGTAGAGGGACGCTGGCATCCAGGCTGCCAAATGAAAGCCAACAGAAGGCTCCAAGGCTGTCTCGTCAATCACAGAGGACAGAGCTGGGACTAGAGCCCTCGGTCCCACCAGCCTGAGGTTGAACAGGCCAGCCTTTGTGATGCCCATCTGGGACCCCCTCAACCTCGGAGACCAGATGTGACTGAGTGACACTCAGAAAAATGGGCACCGGGGAAAACGGAACAGTTTTGCCACACCCTCTGGAAAACTTTATGCTTGATTCATTTATAGCAAATTCCTTAAAATGGTTTCTTGCAAGAATTACTGTTCATTCGCCTGGTCTGGAAACCAGAGAAGGATCTCTTTCTTGGGTCAGAGTGGGGTTCACTGAGCCCAGTGACGAGCAGCTTGGTTCCAGACCATGGCTGCTCAGAACTCGGGCTCATGCTGCTCCTAGTGCAGATTCGGCGGGGTCTGTGGGGTGAGCTGGGAAGTAAAGGGAAAGGGGTGAACTAAGTACAGCCCCTGCGAGGGAGGTGTTCTGGGCGATCGGTTTGGACGTGACTGAAGCTGGGCCCTGTGGAGACTGTCCTGTTGTCAGTTCTGGCTCAGCCCTTGCCGGAGGATGAAGGGACCCCCAAAATGGAGAGAGGAGGCAAAGGGGAGAGAGATGTGGATGGAGATCACATCCCTACCTTTTCCAAGCCTGTTTCCTCATCTGTAGAGCAGGAAGAAGTTTAACTCGCACCTAAAGGGTTGTTGATGGGGTTGATGACAATGACCAACATCTAGTGCTGAAAACTAGGCTTGTACCTGAGTCGTGTGTCTTTGCTGATTTTGAGTAGCTGGTGAGGGGAGGAGCACCAGTCCCCTGGAAAAAGGGTAATCAAATCAAGGATGTAGTGGGGAAATCAAGGATAAGGAAGGTCTTGCTCCAAGCCCCCAGATCCTCCTGGATCTGTGGAGCCTCCTTGAGTACAGAGTTGCCAGATGGAGGGGGAAAAAAAGACACCCAGTTAATTTTAATTTGATACACTGATTTTCTTGGTATAAGTATATCCCATGCAGTATTTGGTATGTACTTACTAAAAACTTTTATCTGGAGTTTGAATTTAACCAGCCATCCTGTATTTTCTCCGATAACCTCCCTCAATGTAATAGTGCACATTTACTAGGCACTTTCTTGAGTTGGGGCTTATTCTAAGAGCTTTGTGGCCATATTCTCAACCCCTTCGACAATTCAAAAATCCCCAATTTACATATGAGAGCACTGAGGCCCAGAGAGGTGAAATATTCCAGTCACCCAGCCGGTACCTGGCAGAGCTGAGATTTGGGGACCCAGGAAGATTTCAGAGCCATTAGCTGAGCAGGGGATCGGGATCTAGTCTGAGGCTTGGAGCAAGCCACCCCTCTAAGGCAGCTTTGGGAAATAGGGTGAAAGGAATGATGAGCAGGGGAAGGGGCCATTCTGGTGCCAGCCACGCTGAGCCAGTTACCCCGGGGGAAGGGGTCTCCTTCCCATCCGGCTGCGCTAGCCTAGGGGTGTTCTTGGAGTCTCATTCTTAGCTCCGACTCACCTGCCCAGGTGAGAGGGGCCACATGAGAAGCAGCATCCAGTCTTAGAAAGAAGGGGCAGGGGGTGTGTAACTTCTCAGCTGGAAGGGCCAGAGGGTAGTCCGGGGCTGAGAGGAGGGGCAACTCACCAATGACAGCAACCCATCTCTAAAGGCTGGGGCCGAATGTCTGCTGCAAGGTTTGCATAAGCAGGACCAGAAATCCCAGCTGGGAGAGCTTTGATCCAGCTTGCTGGTGTGTAGTCTGCTCACCCCTCGCCTCAGGGTGTCCATGGATTGGCCACCACCACTGCCCTGGGTGCAGCAGGACCCGCCTGGGAAGGGGGAGGTGACACAGCGCCCTGCCCGCCGGGCCCCGGCTGTGACCCTCCGCCCAGGGCAGCCTGCCTCCTGGCTGCCCAATCAGTTCTGCCCACTGTGCTTGGCCTTGACCTGCGGGAGCTCATCCCACAGCGTGTCCTCCACATGAGGACAAGGCTCAGGCAGGCTGTCACCTGCCTTCAGCTGGAATTCAGAGGTGGGTCTGACGGCAGGAGCACAGACCCGACGCTGGCCCAGCGTGGAGTCCGCAGAGCTCAGCTGTCGTCTGTTTCTGCGTAGCCCACGGGCCGAGAGTGCACTTAACGCTGTTCAATAATGGAGAAATCAAAAGATGAAGGCTATTTCATGACACGTGAAAATCATACCAAATTCCAATTTCAGAGCTGGGAGCACAGCGACACCCACTCCTTTCTGTCCCATCTGTGGCGGCTTATTGAGAGTCGTCACAGAACCACCTGGCCTGCAAAGCCAAAGTATGTACTGTCTGGCCCTGCACAGAAATCGTTGGCGGACCCGTGTCCTAGAGGGTCAGTTTTATTCGTAGATTCAGTGCAAAAACAGAGTCGTTCAGAATATTATATTTATTTGAACATGGTTTTGCATAAATATGACTCATACAGTCGTTTGTAAGAGTGACATCTACCTTTTTTTTTAAGATTTTTATTTATTTACTTGA